AGCTGCTTAATGTGATGGGTTGGTTCGTCTGTCTGTCCGTCTGTCTGTCTGTCCTTGGGCAGGATATCTCCAAAACACTCAAGATCCATTTTCGTCATTACGATTCTATTCAACATTTTTGACCTCCGACCAACCAGGATAAGGTCAAAGGTCAAAAATACATAATTGTCATACCATGATATCGTTTCAAAAAAAATTAGTCGCTTTAACGTCCCATTGCATGCGGGTTTTGAATTTAAATTAATTAATGAAAATTTAATTTAATTAAATTTAATTAATTAATTAAAATTAATAAATTTTGGTGTCTCAACTTTCCCATCTTGGATATATTTAAATAGCGATTTTGATACCTATTCATCTCTGTGCTTTTTTAAAAAAATGAAGACTTTACGATGTGAAGATAAAAAATAATATGTATAAAAATTGAAATTTTTTGTACAAAAAATCCAAATTCTAACCTTGTAACTTTGCGAACTTAAAAATTATCGATTTTTTTAAATGCAATAAACTTTAATTTTTAAATAGAAACTCACGGGGATCAACATATTTCAAAATCGATATTTAAAAACATTGAAGATGGGAAAGTTAAGATACAAAATTTAAATTCAAAACCCACATACAATGACACCTTAACGCTACTTGTTTATATTCGTTTACCCGCATTTATTTATGCTTGATAACAGCCCTCGAAATGTGACTTGTGCTATCTGTCGCATCATCATCATGAAATAACAGAGGAGCCTCTCCTGCCCAGGGTCAACATTACATATTTGGTTCGCATTATGCACGAATGCCCGGTTTTTGTCCCAATTTCTCCCCTACATTGACCGAGACCTCGCCATTCGACACCAACAAACATTTGATTTCCTCCACATTTCCGTTCTCCTCGCCAGCAGCAAAAGTCACAATACGTAATAACAAATGGCGAAAAACTCAATGTCTTTTCTGCCTGAGTGACACAAAGGACGCCTCGTTATTAGGTGAGTGAGGTGCACTTTTGGCCAAAAAAAATCAATTACACGACGACGACCAACCAACACACATGTAATGCTGCGGATCGATTTGTAAGAGAAATAAATAGGTTAAGTTTTCTACACGAGGTAAATAATGTGGTAACAAAACTGGAGGTAAAACTATGTATGGATGGATGTAAGGTGGTACAAAATTGCAGTTTTAAGGGCAAAATGTCTCAATCTTTGGGGTAAAGTTCGTTAAAAGTTAATTTATTGTGGTATAAAATCCAAAATTTTGTACAAGATCTCATTAAAAATGTCATTTTAAATAAACGAAAAATCTCAAATTTAGTCCAAAATTCCGTAATTAAAGCTAATAAATCACAAATTTTGTATAAAATATCCTTAAAAAATATCCTTAAAAAATTCAATTTCAGATTTTAAAAAATCCCCAATATCCCCAATCTCGTTTTAAAATTCCTATTTAAATTCTTTTAAATTCCAAATTATGCGCAACATATTCAAAAATTTCATTTAAAAAATCCCTAATTGCGTATAAAATCTCGTTTACAACTTCTTTTAATTTCCCAATGTTTGTACAAAATATCATACAAAACTTTGATCTGAAGTACAAAAAAAATCCCCAAATTTCCCCAAAATTTACCTTTTGGAATCAAAGAACCCCAAATTTTGCACAGAATATAAAATCTCGTTTAAAACTTCTTTTAAATTCCAAATGTTTGTACAACATATCATACAAAACGTCCATCTTAAATCCAAAACAAAATCTCAATTTTCCACAAAATTTACCTTTTGGAATCAAACAACCCCAAATTTTGTACAGAATTTCATCAAACAATGCCAATTAAAAGCAAAATTTCGTGCCACTTAAATTCTGACCGTCATACATACATACAAATATAACAAATTTGAATAATCGATACTTTCCGATACCCAATCTACCTTTAACCCAGTCCTGGAACCGAATATTGCATTTGTCTCAAAATAATGGGATTTATTTCACATTAGAAATTATATATGATCCAAATCACTTCATTATCCATGCGATAAACGAGCGGCTTCTCCAACCACGAATGATAATCGTAATGGCCAATAAACCACCTTTCCTCCTGCCCCACTAATCCACCCATTTTACTACCTACCCATTTATTATTGACTTTCACAACTATATAACTCCGTACATACATATTCCACCCGGGACGAATTTATGGATTCATATGCATATGTACGTACAAGGGGCAGGGTTTCCGGTGAAAGTAACGACGTGCAAGAAATAATGGGAAGAAAGTGGTTTCTTGCAGGTAAATCTGCAAGAAATGCAAGGTGCAAAAAATCGAATCCCCCGGGTGAAAGTAACCACGTGCAAGAAATAACAGGAAGAAAGTGGTTTCTTGCAGGGAAATATTTCGATCTGCAAGAAATGCAAGTTGCGCAAGAATCGAAGCCCCGCCGCTATAAATAGTTCATATGGCACGTGGCTAGATGGCGCATATTTCTTGCACTTTCTCCCACTTTATTGCACCTCGCATTTCTTGCAGTTTCTGGCACCTCGAATATTCTGTAGTTTCTTGCACCCTGCATTTCTTGCATTTGCAGTGCAAGAAATGCAGCAAACACACGAAACTAAATACTCTCAAGTAATCAAGTGCAAGAAATATAAGAATCTTACGCTTCTTTCATTTCTCACGTTTTCAGTGCAAGAAACGCAAAAATTTCGGCCAGAAAGGATGCCGCCACCCTGTATCTCGGAGGTTGGCATTTAGCGGATATACGCCACGGCCACATTATTGCTTTACGACTTTCTCCACATTTCTTGTCTCGTTTGGCTCGTTGTCATTGCATCACAACAGTCTCTGGCTCGTCTTATTATCATTATTATACTCTCCCGCTCGCCCGCCTGTCATCACACGTAATCGAATCAAATTATGTAAATAGCAGGCTTTTCCTTCTCCAGGTTTCCTCTTTGCTTTCTCCTCCAACCAAAGGAGGATGGATGCACTCTTTTAATACGTAATTCCACCAAGCCAGCCAACCAACCAGTCTTCTTAATAACGCAAGGATAAATCTGCACCCCAAATTGTTTGTTACCACCAGGCAGTGATAATAGATGTAGGTTACATATGTACACTCAAAATAAGGTAGTAATGAATCATTACCATGCGGAATCACTATGTGTCTCTACCACGTCGGCTACGATTTGTCGTATAAATGGTAATAATAAGTCGGGGAAATTCAAATTCATTACCAAATGTTCAGGAAGTGAATACCATTATGTATTAAATTTGAATTTCCCTGAACTTATTATTACCATTTCTACGACAAATCTTAACTGAAGTGGTACAGACACAGTGATTCCGCATGGTAATGATTCATTACTACCTTATTTTGAGTGTAAGTATTTTGACTACAGATTTGGTAAGGAACGAAATGGGACAAAAATTATCGGGGAAATTCGGATTATAATTCATAATTTTATCCTGTTTTACATCTGTCTTGTAGTTAAGTCAAAGATAAATCTGATCCCTATAAAAATGGTAATGTAACTAGATGATCATAGATTTGCATGGATAGATGTGTCCTATAGCAAAAATTCGTTACAAAGTTTAAGTTTTGTGCAAATTTGTAGGGGCAAAAAAAAATAAAATCAGATTTACTACAAATTTAGAGTGGTAAAAATTCTCCAAAAATTGAAACTGTTTAGAAATTTAAGGGAGAAAATTCACTACAAAAATCGAATGCTATACAAATTTACAGGGGAAAAATTCTCCAGAAAACCTCAAGTATTTACTAATTTAAATACAAAAAATTATAAAAAAAACATTAAAATTTTGTACCCATTGTAACATCACTTTCTACCTGACCAACTGGCTAGATTTTCTTGATGGCCAAATACTGTATCCTACTTATTTGTTACCAGCATTGCTCAGCACATTGTTTAGCGTGACTCTGAATATGTACATAAGCAAAATCGCATATTGCCTCTCTCACATTAAACTCTACATATATTTATTTATCTGCATTTCCTCCCTGTAAAAAAGTTGCTCGATCGGCGTGTTACGTTCGTGGAGAAAGCTTTCGCCTTGATTAAATGATACACAAGTAGATTCTCTTTTGGTCCGATGAGATGAAACACACCATGAAAATCGTGTCCACTCAGTATCCGCACCCATCCCTCGCTCCTGCCCTGCACGTACATCAAATTTGCTTTGCACAACTTATACCAGAGACCTTGGCCTTTCATAATTCGCTCCTTTCTTTTGAGTCAATCGCCTTTTCGGGGTCACCACGTTAATAAATAAATTATCATCAAATAATATCCGTTCCGCGGAAGGGCAGGGTTCCGTTTGTTATGTTTGAAAGGAAGAAATGTGAGGTGTCAGAAAGTGGGAGAAATTTGCACCAGCCCGTGACGTGTGAAGTATAGTAATTTCTTGCACCTTGCATTTTTGGCAAGTCAAAATACTTGGAAGAAACCACTTTGTTGCGGTTATTTCTTGCGGATTTGCCATATTTTTTGCACTGCAAAGAAGGTCATACAAGAAATGTGAGGTGCAAGAAAGTGCAAGAAATATGCGCAATTTAGCAAAGCGATAAATATCGCGTAGTTTCTTGCGCCGTGCATTTCTTGCAGGTCAAAATATTTACCTACAAAAAAACCACTTTTTTGCCATTATTTCTTGCAAGTAGTGTTTGTTTTTTGCGGATTTGCTGCATTTCTTACACTGCAAAACGAGAATGCAAGAAATTCGAGGTGCAAGAAACTGCAAGGAAGTGCAAGAAATATGCGCCATCTAGTCAATCACGCTCTACGAATCGTAGTTTCTTGCACCATGCATTTCTTGCAGGCCAAAATATTTACCTACAAAAAAACCACTTTCTCCCAAGTTGTTTTTTCTTGCAAACACTGAACCCATTCTTAAAACAAATACGAGGAAAAAGGAACGAAATGACTCCTTCAACCAATATTTGAGGGGTAAAATTACTTTCCTTTTTCTCAATTAGTTGTACAACTGGCTTCTTACTCACCTTGAATTTATTCCCGTCTCAAAGTTGCAGATAACCCCGAAATAAAATCCTCCTGGTCTCGTACTCGTTTCCTCCTTTTGTCGTCTCGTTTCTTAAACTTTCTCCAAATCCACTAAATCTTTTCCCCTGCCGGAAAAAGATACCGTCTTTTTTTACTAATTAGTTTTCTTTTTAAGCCAAAATCCTTAAGGTTCAGTTTACTCAAAGGCAGACACAAAATTGTGAAAACTTTTTTTTGGAAATCTCAACTTGGTCAAAAAAATTGTCAGTCGCACGATTTACTTTGTGTATTTTTTGATAAGATATGTGTATGATTTGTTGGTGAATGAATATTGGTCGTTTATTTTTGAAAATTTTGATACTTCTCCCCTTATTTCTGGCTTCCTCGTCTCAGTTCCATGTCCGTCGGACAACTGAGGGCAAGTCGAGAAACGGGTTAGAATTTCTCTCTCGAGGAGAGAGAGAGAGAGAGAGAAGAGTCAAATGTGACCAAAAACTCGGCACTACCAACTTTCTCCTGGTGGGAGATACCAACTTTCCCCATCCATCTATCTATCTATCCATTGGTAAAGTAGGGACATGGAATCCTGGTGAAAAAGGGGAACAAGTTTACGAATACGATACGTGTCTCGTCGTTTGGCTCGTCGTAAGGAGCAGGACATTGTAATACACTTCTAAAAATGTGGTAGTCAGATACATATGTATGTGCTCCGGACTGCTATTGATTTGGTAATAATTTCCTACCAGATTGGTAATAAGTTGTTTCTCATTGGTAAGGTTTTCAGTACCGCAACATTACCAAACATCGTTATTAACAGACCAACTTTCCCCATCCATCTATCTATCCATTGGTAAAGTAGGGACATGGAATACTGGTCAAAAATGGGAACAAGTTTACGATACGTGACTCCCTTGTCCTTTGGCTCCTCTTCTCAAGGAGCAGGACACTGCTAACAATGTGCTAGAGTTAGGTACATTTACACTACTGGTATTAATTTGGTAATAAGTTATTACCTGATTGGTAGTAGTTTGTTTGTCAGTGGTAAGTTTTTCATCGGCACCAACATAACTAAATGGTAGTGGTTACAAGTGTCGGTATACCGATTTAATTCCAGATTGGTAGTAATGGAGGTCTCCCAGCGTAGGCACTCTGATTTTGAGCAAACGAGTGTCAATCGATCACAAATTTAAGTAGTATGAAATTTGCGAAAGACTTGGCGCACGTTTTGCAGAGATACATATATGCATCCGAAGAGGAGAAAACGCGCAGCACAAATTTTGGAAAGGATAAAATTTGTAAATTTGTTATCGATTGACACTAGTTTGTCCAAAATCTGACAGCATACGCGGGGAGACCTCCATTGTGAGTGTATCGCGTATTTTTATCTTTTCAAAGTGATAATTTTAGGTAGAAAAAAAACCTGCATAATTGCACGTGTGAACAAGTTGAACGCCAGTTGTGTGTTTTTAGGAAAAAATTAATATTAAATTAGGTAAAAGATTTTCATGAATCCTGCTCCATAATTGTAGAACAGTAAAATCACAGGGTATAAATACCTCCATTGTATTATCACTTGTACTGTAAACCAGCTTTTTACAGAATTGAGAAGTATGCAAAATGACATTATATGAGAAAGGTGTTATGCAAAAAATATTATGTAATTTCACCGTACACGATTTAATACCAGTACTGGTTTCATACCAGATTTCTAAGAGTGAACATACTATGTCCTTCCTTCCCCACAATAAAAGCATTTTTCTAATTAATCACACCCCTATTTTGGTATGCATACTAGAACGAGACGACAATAAAACTCAATAGATTACACACTCATGATCATTAAACTACAGGAGCCAACAAACTACAGTTGCAGCACTATTTACTTATTTATCCTTCCTAAATGGTCTCCCTTCCCATTTGTGTATTTACGTACGTAGATATTTAGAGACAGGGTGGAAAAATTTAAATTCTCCCCAAATTTCAGGTGCAATTAGGCCCGGGCCGGCGTGTTGAATACTAATGAGTGCAATAAAGGTGGCTGGATGGATGGAAGAGGGGCAGGCCTGCAGGGAGATGTTGTGCCTCCGACATTATTATTTCTTTGTCCTAATAAATACCTTAATCCGACCTGCCAGCCTGAAAACATGAGATGAAAACGAGGCACCAGCTTAATAATAATTTAGAGGGATGCAGTTCACTTCATTAATAGTAAAAGTCGGATACATTTCGGGTTCTGAGGAGGAGGAGGATTTTATGTATAGATTTGATATGCAATAAGGTTGAGGTATAGGCAGACAAAAATTTGGGAGAATGGGAACAAAATTTGGTGGGAATGATTCACTAAATATTTTGTGCGGATAATTAACAAAAAATTTAGTGTGGACGATAAAAACACAAAATTTCGAAGGAACGATGATCACAAAATATCGTATGGACAATTAACAACAAAAAATCGCACGAACGATTGAATCAAAAAATTTTGCGTGAATTATTTGCCTAAAATTTTGTATGGACTATTAATAAAAAATACTTTAATAAAAAAATCTTTCGGAAGACGAAAATACAAAATTTTGTATACACGTGAGACGTGACATAAAATTAATTATTACAAAATTTCTTACGACGGATTATTACAAAATTTCTTACGACGGATTATTACAAAATTTCTTACGACGGATGAACACAAAATTTCGTATGGACAATTAAATAACAAAAAAATTCGTATGAACGATTGGACCACAATTTTTTATGATTTAATTTATAGAAAATTGTGTATGGGCAATTTCCTACGTACGATCAACACACAAAATTTCATAGGGATAATTCATAAAAAATTTGGTACGAACAAAATTATGTATTAACGACTTCATTCATTCACATTCATTCATATTCATTCATATCCATTCATTGAAAAAATTCATTCATAGTTCCGATTCGTTGCTCATGATTTTTTTTCGGTAGTAAAACGCCAAAGTAAATATTTTCAGAAAGGTGAAATAAGTATATAAAGTTCTGAAGGTTTATTGGTATACATGTAGAAGGTGATGATTAGTTTTTGAATATTCGGTAAAACGTAGAGAGAAATATTTTCAGAAATTTCGATAAATATTGTCATAAAAATTGCAAGGTGTTTAATTTTCACTTATAAATAAAATAAAACCCATGTTTCTTTCCCTGTCCGTTATTTTGTTTGCGGTTGTAAAACTCCTCAGTAAATATTTTCAGAAATGTAAAACTCCTCAGTAAATATTTTCAGAAATGTAAAACTCCTCAGTAAATATTTTCAGAAATGTGAAATAGGTAAAAAAAAAGTTGCGCAGATTTGACGTTTCCGTTCAATGAATAGTCATGATCAATTCTCGCATAGGAAGAACTTTAGTATGACACCCGTGCGATGTTAGGTTATACGATATGTCATACGATGAACCACTAAATTATGTATGAACGACTTACAAAAAATTTCATATGGACATTGACAAAAAAATTCGTATGGATAATTAACAAAAAGTTTCGTAAGAACGATGAAAATTTTTTATGAATGATTCACTAAAAAATTCATATGGATAATTAACAACAAATTTCGTACGAAGTATCAAAACACAAAATTTTATATTTGCAATGAAACAAAATTTCCTTTAGACAATTAACAAAATATTCCGTAGGAATGATGAACACACAAAATTTCGTATTGGCAATTGACACAAAATTATACTAAAACATTCATATGAATAATTACCAACAAAATTTCGCAAGAAGGATGAAACAAAACATAAAATTTCGTATGGTCCATTAACAAAAAAATTCATAAAAACGATGCATACACATAAATTTAGCATTCACAATGACACAAAATTTCCTTTGGACAATTAACCGAAAATTTCGTACCAACGATAAACACAGAAAATTTAATATTCACAATGGCACAAAATTTCGTATTGCCAATTAATACCAAATTAAGTGCGATGGAATGATGAACTACAAAATTGAGTATGAATAACTTACAAAAATTTACAAACAAAAATTTCAAGAAATATGAGCAATTGACAAAAAATGTTATGATCAACACACAAAATTTCAAAGTCACAATGACACAAAATTTTGTATGAACCATTAACAAAAAATTTCGTAAGAACGATGCATACACAAAATTTCGTATTGCCAATTAACACAAAATTTTGTACGGACGTGACGTCCGTAAGACATTTTTTTTTGTGAACGACGAAACGAAAGGCTCAAATACATATCTAATTTCGTATTATGGACTCCTTCTTTTTTGCTCGATGTCTGCCTCATTTTCAAACCAGAGAGAATTCTTTATGAGAAAATTAACAAGTTTTTGCAGCTTAAGGTGGTGTAATTTTAAACCTAATTTTACAGTTTGTTGGTATTTTTAGCAGCAGCACTGGAGGAATTTCTGAGGCAGAGAAAGGATAATGAAAGTTGGAATTTTACTTATTTATTTATCAGCTTTCTCCTCGTTCAGTTTGATTTAAGAGAGTTTTCCTTCTCCCCAAAAGTACTCCACTTTTCTGAGGAATTGACCTCTTGGGGGCAGTTAATTCCGCCATATGTGTTCCGCATGGGACGCCATTTGTACAATTGCTGCACCAGCGAAAACAAACAAAATATTTAATATGAAGCTATGTATGCAGCTACTAGTAGAATTGTGGAAGGATTTTTTATCTACAATTTTTTTGCAAGAAGGTTAACCTAAGATGTGATGATTCGGAGTAAAAAGAAGCACCTTTTTAATCATTCTCTCGGAATTTATTTTAAAATTCTGGACAACGTAGTCAGTGGGTTGATTAATGGAATGGCGATGAGTTTTTGAAGCCTGTTTCAATAAGTTCACATTTTTCTGAGGGCTTTAACTCCTTCAAAAACGGTCAAAATCTGGAGTGCATATTTTTGAAAAATTGGCACTGCTAACTGCTTTACAAATAAAAGGCTAGATATACACTCAAAATAAGGTAGTAATGAATCATTACCATGCGGAATGACTATGTGGCTCTACCACGTCGGTTACGATTTGTCGTAGAAATGGTAATAATAAGTTCAGGGAAATTCAAATTTAATACATAATGGTATTACTTCCTTAATATTTGGTAATGAGTTTGAATTTCCCTGAAATTATTATTACCATTTCTACGACAAATCGTAACCGACGTGGTAGAGCCACATAGTCATTCCGCATGGTAATGATTCATTACTACCTTATTTTGAGTGTATGGATATATATCCGGATATTTGGAGGTTTTCACCCGATATCCGCCGAGCTCTGGACGCCACATTGAAATCTTGAATGAAAATGATTTATAATTTTTAAACAAATTTAGCTTTTCCCTAATTGTTTACTAAATAATTAAACACCGAGCGGATAAAATTGTGCTATCAATTT